GCCTCTGTAAGTACCACAAGCCCTCACTAGGAGGAAGACGCATCCTACAAAAAGCTACAGAGGTCAGTGCCAGCAGCCTGTATCTGGGCCTCCTGCAGGGACAACAGGAGCAGGCAGCAGGCGAGATACCAGGATGGGGATGAAGTATCTGGCTGCCTTGAAGGGCTGTCGGCTTGGAGTGGAGAAGGTGGGCAAACCAGATAAGCAGCCAGCAGTTCCTCTAGCACGCAGTGAGAACCACGGAGAGGCGTGTGTGGGAAGTCAAAGCAGGGCCAGAACGGCTCTGTATGTGGTGCGGCTGGGGCGAGAAGTGCCCAGAAAGAACGGGGCATCTGAGTTAAAACTGATCTGCGCATCCAAATGGGTGACAAAGGGAGCAAGGGAACGCTCACATCAGTCACATGACACACAGGAAGCAAACGGCAGGCACCATGACACTGTTCGAGGGCTCATTTCCGAGAGCATGGGTGAGGGAGGCACAGTAACCCAGGGCAGTAGAAGCTGTGCTGCGGGAGCAAGCCTGGAGAGGCACTTTCAGGAGGGAGCACACAGTACTGAGAGCAACTCTGGTTGCTGTGGTATGTGTGCCTAGGCACTGGGCACTAAGCGCTAGTTACTTTGCATCTCCTCTTAAGCAGCACTCCCTTGCAGAAACTCTCCACTCAGTCTAAATCATTAACCCCTCATGTCCTCTAACGGAGCTACCCTCCTTTCGTTCAGAGGCCTTGTCTCAGACTGGGCTGCCCCGCACGGCCTCGCAGTGTCCACAGTGCGCTACCTCACAGCTGCCGGACAGAGGGAGCGGGACCACACAGTGCCCAACAGCACCGACGAGATGCTTGTCTGGTCCCTCCCCAGCCCTCTCGCTAGTCCCAGAGCTAAGAAGGTTGCTCCCGCCCTGCACCCAAGAGACAGCCTGTGGCACTCGCTGGGCGCTCCTTAGTCCTGGACAGACAGGGAACAAAGCCTCTGAAATAGCAAGGCTACAGACCTGAAGTGAGGCTCAGACCCCCGAGGAGGCCCGCCCAAGCTCAGGGGCTCGCAGCTCAGCTCCACTTGCTCAGGGCTTGCTTTCCCGTTGTTCTAAGCAGTCTCCAAACTTCCGTGTTTTGAAATCTGGTGAAGACACGCAGCCCAGCTGTTGGAGCTGGGCCCAGGCCTCTGGGGTGGGGGCTGGCACATCTTGTCCAGGCCTCCTGCCCTGTGAGAAGGGATAGCAGGGGCCCGGCAGGCTCCGGGATGGCAGTTTGCGGGTCTCCAGCCCCCATGCCGACCCAGCAGCTCCCTGCCTTCCTGGTCCCAGCATCTGCCTGCAGCCCGTGGCGTAGGGGCCACCTGGCCCCCAACCCCCTGCGGGCTCCACAGGGTGGCAGGGCTGGGTTTTGCTCCGGACCACAGAACCCAGAGCCTGCTTGGGGTTCCCGGGCTGCTGGCCCACCCTCCACAGGCCTCTCTCCCTAGGTGAGCCTGCTACTGCCCGAAGGCGACACACACTCGGCCATCATATCTGCACGCTTCGAACACTGAGAAGCTGTGGCGTGGCTTTCTCAGCACTCAGTAAACAACTTGCTTTTCTGAGTGGCACCCACAGGTATGTTGCTCCTGAGCAAGGCTGAGCTGGTGAGAAGGTCTGCAGCAATGAACATAAGCAGCGCCTGGGGCCCTGGCTGTTACTGGCAGCGCTGGTGTCGGGAGGGCCCCTCCCCACCTGACCCTGTGGAACTTTTACAATGTAGCGGTGTCAGCCTCCATGGGCGCATGTAGTTCTGATGTCACTCTACCACTTCCACCATGTTACTGTACACTCAGCCAGACTAAAATGTCAGCACATGCCCGGGTAAGGGAGACGAGGACACGAACTGTACAGAAAGGTGCGACTCTGCCTTTGGCTAGGAATCCACTGAGTCAGTGCCGGCGGGAATAACGCTGCCCCGGGGAAGAGGGCCTGGGCCCCTCTCTACTGGCAAGTCCCGCAGCAGGGCAGCCCTCCCGGAAGGTGTATTAGTAAGTGACAGGCATGGTACAGTGATCACTGCAACAGCTGATACTCGCCTGCAGAGTCTGGTGGGGGAGAGGGTCCGCTTCGGGAGCTGGCAGCCCTGGGACTCTCGAGTGGCCCAAACCGGAGCTGGCAAGAGCGGAGGGAGGACGGAGCACCCAGCCAGCCTCCCACCTGTGGCAGCCCCTCTGCCAAGGCCTCGCACGGGGGTGGGGTGGGGGGATTGCCTGCAGAGGCACGGAGAGCTGGGGACCTGCAGCTGTTAGTTCCCAGAGGCTGAGTGTGAAGTCACTGCTCTCCCTACTAAGGAGGGGCTGGGGTTTAGCTCAGTGATACAGGTAATTAATTACACCTGCTGCCTTTTGTAAGAAAAAGCACACCTGCAGCTGCTTCAGGCTCAGCCCTGTGTGGGAGATTTTCTCTGGCAAGTTTCCTCGTCTCATAACAGTTTTGAGTACCCAGCATGGGTCATGGTCAATTTGTATTTTCTCAAAAACTGACTTTTCCTAAATGGCAGACATGGAGTACTTGGTAAAAATAGTGATGAATTAAGTAACAGAACATGTATGAGTGACAGACAAGGCCAGGTGAGACAAACGGCAGGAGGCTGTGATCAGAGAAATGTCAGTACTGGACTCTCTGAAGGGACTCTCCGCCTTCACAGGGTCCTCCAGCTGTACTGGAATGTCTAGATCCTGACAACCCAGAGAAACACAGGAATGAAAACGTCGCACTTCAGAAGTACAAATGGAGGGCAAATACAGAAAATGTCCAGCTTCTAATTGACACTGAAATACACATTCAGAGTGAGGTGTAACTTCACACATGAAAACCAAGCATGAGGTCCAGTGCCTCTGTGACTTTAAAAAGTCTTGTGGGTGAATTTGATGCAATGTAAAGGGGATGCAGCACTGGTTAAAGTTCAATTACTGAAGCTTTAACTAGGAGTTTATTTTAAGCCTCTGCATTCATATATCCAATAGGGAATTATTTTAATGGTAATAATAAAAGTAAGTGGTAATAAGTCATATAACTTTGACTTTATTTTTCTTGTCATTGAAATTACAGAAATAAAAGCTTTGTAAAATTAGTTAAATGAAAACTCCTCTATGATTTTGACCATACAGGTTTGTGTCATCAGAGGGCCTTGATGGGGGAATTCACTGAGCTGCTATTAGAGGGCGAGCTGAACAGGAGTCCGGTTTCAGTTCAGAGGCAACTGGAATTTACTTTGGGTCCCCCAAAGAGGAGACAAATGGGGAACAACAGCACCCTCTCATAATCCCACAGCTCTGGGAGGCTGAGGCAGGAGAACTGCAGGTTCAACCCCAGGCTAGGCAACTTCATGACTTAGCGAGGCTCTGTCTCAAGATACAAGATTATAAAGGGGGCTGGGATGTGTTCAGAGCAGAGTCCTGGGCTGAGTCCCTGGCTCCTTCAAAGGAGAAGGAGAAGGAAGAGGATCAAAACATCAAAACAGCGAGAGTAGCTACAGAGACGAAACTTCCCTGGGAAAGGGGAGCACTCAGAGAGACTTCATAATTATCGCAGGTAACTCTCTCCAAGGAAAATAGATGCGTTTTGCAGCCCTTCTTTCTCTGAGCCCTTCACAGAGGTGAGCCGGCTGACTGAGCCTTGGTGGCCATCTCTGATCTGCTCTACCCGGTCAGTGGTGTGCGATTATTTTTTTATTCAACTAGTTAGCTTTTCTTTTATGCCACCATTCCTGCAAGTAAGGACCGTGATCTTGCAGGACAGTCAAACAGGTGCTGAGAGGGTTCTGCTAAGCCACGTGGGCTTTTTCACAAATAGCAACTTGGAACTCTGTGGCTGCGTCGAGTCAAGGACTACCGTGCTCAGGACACATGCTGAGAGCCAGGGAAGAGGGGTCTGGTTCAGGTACAGGGAGAAGACATGGCGAGGCACACCCAAGTTGGGCTCTTCGGCTGTCCTCGGAGATCTACACGGGGCACAAGTGTTGGAGGTGTGTAAAGCTGCATTTGAGCACCAACATCATCTTGGCAATCATCAGAGCCAGGCAAGACTTCTCTCCCTGCTTTTCTTTCCTCCTCTATAAAAGTACAGATCTGGGGCTGGGGATTTAGCTCAGTGGTTTTGCCACCTGCTGTGCAAGCGCAAGGACCCAAGTTCGATCCCCAGTACCAAAAAAAAAAAAAAGTACAGATCTGGGAGTCAGAACTGGTGCGTGTCGGGCCTCGCAGCATGAGGCCCATGCAGCTGCCTGTCACTGCACACCAGCATGGTCTTAGTTTATGATCATATGGAGGATGAGGCGCCACTCCTGCAGGGGAGGGAGCTGCAGTGCCCTGCACTCTGTAGGGACCGAGGTGGGTTCGGGTGGGGAGGGGCTGAGCAGGAACCGGATCACACTGCCAGTCTCTTCCGTTCTGCAGTTCACCAACCGAAGCTGAACTCAGCATCAATGGCAGCTCATCAACTTACATGGCTGTGAGCTCAAATAACCAGTCACCCGTGACTGGGTAGTGTTGATGGCTCCCACATCCACACTCTGTAGACCTCAGATCCCTGGCTCCTAATTCCAGTTAGTAAGAATTTGGTGAAGAAGAGAAAAGTACCATCAACTAGGCCTTCTCAGAAAACTACCAACATGAAAGCATTGTCCAGGAGCTTGACACCCACTAATGCTGATTATTCATGGCCTCAATAAAGCTGGACATGCATGGACCAGAGGTGATGGGAAAACAGCTATCAAAAGCTAGGGTGGTTTTCTGTAATCCCAAACTTATCAAGAAATAATGTGTAAGTATTTGGTTAACTTAATGTGTTAATAAAATTGACAATGATTGATCTCGTGGCAGTGTTCACATTCTTATGTAAACTCAGGGATGTACAAATTATTGCTTAAAAAGCTATTGATTGAACAAATGTTTCTTAAGCCCCTGTTAGCTCAGATCAGAGGCCAGTTTCTGATGGGGCTCAGTCATTGGGACAAGATGCCAAAGAGAGAAGGGCTTCTCACCTGGTCACGCTGGCAGCTGATCAAAGTAGGAGAGCTGCAGTGCTGGACCCTTTTTCCTGTGGACCGAATTAAACAGCTGTTAGGAATAAGACTTTCCAAGTGGCTTCTGGTAAATGTAAATGAAAATTCTGATTTTCTTTCTTTTGATACATAGAATGTATACAGACAATTACTTATTGAATAAATAAATAGATGTTACTGAATGACAGCAAATTGTATCAGAAAAGGGCTGTTAGCATAAAACTTTATATAAAATGTAACAGAAGAACACGAGACAGTGCTGTCCTCTTCCTCTGAGGCACTGCACAGCTGTACCCAGAGAGCAGACATGCCACGTTACCTTAGGACACGCTTTCGGAAGCCAATGTGATTATGCCTGATCAAATGACTGAGAAACTGTGCTAAACCAACGTAGAGCTTCTCTGTCACTGGGCTTTTCACTCAGCACATGAGCTGCAGAAGCTGATTCGGGCCCTGGGATCTGGCACTGTGCTACACAGTGTTTTCCAAACTCATCAGACCGTGGAACATTTCCCCCAGGGAGCAGACTTTGGAGCCAGGATCTGGCAGATGACAGACACACTGAGACACCACACTGTAAATGATACCCCGATGCCTGATGCCACTGTCACAACTGCCCGGAGCAGGCTCAGCTCAGAGAGGGTGAAGAAGCAGAGACCCACGTAACAGCCATGGGCATAGCACGTGGCAAATATTTGAGACGCGGGCGAGGTCACGAGCCTATTGCTCAGCGGTGTTTATTAAGCACACATTCCAGTGAACTGACTCAGTGGCTTCGTGAGTATGGACTAAGTTTTCTTTATGAAACTGCCATGGACTCTCTCTGTGAAGCACTTTACTGGCATGTAATCTCACAGAAACTTTGCAAGGAAGAAACTGTTCTCATTGTTTCTGAAACTGCTATCTGCAGAACAAGATTTTCCTGACAATCTTAAGACATCCACTCCATGGCGGGCCTGCACGCTGAGGCCATGTCTGCCCAAATCCGGAGCTGGGGCTCTACCTACTTGCACCTGTCGAAAAGTTAAAATATCCCTCTAGGTGACACAGGATCACTGAGGCGCTACTGATCTGACAGTACAGAGCTGCTAGCTGATGATGCTGAGCCTTCCAGCTGTGGCCATAGAAACATTCCTTTGCACTGGTGGGGAAAACTTGTAATGTCTCTCTTCCAAGAAGGTATCAAAAGAAGAGAAAAAGGGAAGCCCACAATGCTGATACGCTGGTAGCGAGCCAGCCAGAGGAAGGGTGAAATGCAGACACCCATGAGAATCTAGATGCATGTCCAGTCACCTTTCCAAATCTTGATCAAATTCTAATTTTTTTCACTTTTATACTGCGATTTCTCTTTTTGAATACTGGCATCATATTGGAGTTTTGAAAACATCTATTTGTTAAACTTATTTTCAAAAGAATAATTCATGAGATAACCTCAAGGAGAGATTTCAAGTGTATTTTATGCTCATTTGCCTCTACTGTGTCAGAATTTCAATAACTTTGTTCATCAGGAGGTTGAAAACATAAATTTTAAATGTCTCCAACTACTTGAATTCTATGCTTCAGTTTCCATGCATCTGCTAGTCTCTGCTTTTATTGATTAGGTTCAGAGTGGAAGAAGGGAGAAGAAATTAGGATTTAGGCATGGAGAAATTAATGGTACTTACTAGTCTTTGTTAAATAAGAATTATGAATTATCCATTCAAAGCTAGATTTCTGATCATTTTATAGATACCACAGGAGTATTGTTTAAGACCTGCACTGGGAGTGTATAAACAAAATAATATTATGATATTATAACATTATGATGATGAGACTCACAATTTCTGGTTCAGTGTTTAACACACACATATCCGTACAAACACACATTCACAAACTCACACACACACATCCAAAGGCACACAAAACCCTTTAAAAGTGTTATTTGTAATATTTTCTACTATAGCTGAGATACATGTTTTCTTAAGTAGCTGAATGCTAATATCTAGACTGAATATTAAAATCTTGGAAGATATTTTCTCAAACCAATCAAGCTACAATCCATAATTTTTCAGTTTGCTCCTTTTATGTAACAGGAGCATGCTGCTGTGGAAAAGCAGAGGAGATAAAAGGAAATAAATTTCGCCTGTAGTTTTGCTGGCATAACAAGTTCCCATGCTCTCCAGAAACCTCACTGGAAATTAGCACCCATGCCTGGTCTGGGACACAGAAGTCTGTGCGGCTGCTTTGCAAAGTCGGTGTCTTGGTTCCTAAGACACATTAGGTGCTTTAAAGCTGCTTACGCTGTTGGCAGACAGGTCCTTCTGCTATTCCAAATGTAAATGTCGATATAAAATTGTTGCAGACTTTAGCTTATGCATCAGAGATGGCTGCAGTCTCCACTACTGTCCAAATCCTTCAACCTTCAGTCTCACTTGGAGATTTCACAATCTTGGCTTCAACCAATGGGTGGCATCCTGTGGCCTGCAATTATGCAGAAGAAAAATCAGCTAGAGAAAAGCAGATTTTTCTCCTGCTCAGTTAATTTGCCTGATAAGCAAATTTTTAAAACATGGCAAAAGAGTTTGTTCCAAGGCTTGCTTTCAACTCCGTATCTTTCAGGAAGCCACTGCCTCCTTTCTAAAGCATCATTTTCCCAAAACTCTTATTTGACTTAGTGTCTTATCCTTAACAAGTTCATGGGTCTTAATTGTGCCTTCCCAGCTCCACAGGACACTCAAAGCCTCACTGTCATAATCTTAGCCTGAGTCTTTTACACTACCCAAGCACGGTCCTGGAATCGTGAGTCCTCCCTGGCTGACTTCTGGTTGATTCTCTGCACTCAAATACCTATCAGCAAGAGGCCTCCCCACCCACAATCCCCACACACATCTAGACGCAAGCTGGCCCCAGAAGGGAGCTCCCATTGATTGGCTGATTGGACCAGAATCAGATCTTGGGGCATAAATGACATCAGTTTTATTGGTTGCATAGGTCAAATGGTTTGCTCCAGATGCTTAGAGGTGAGGATAGGTGTATGTACACACACGCACATGCGCACACACGCACACACTTTGGCACATGTTATTCCCAATGTCCAGGGAGTGTGCCCACCCTTTGTAACTAGGCTCTGGTCTTCATTTCAAAAGAAAACATCTCAGAAAAACGTAAAACCAAGACTGCATTTCCCCTTGAAAACCATCTGTTGTTGGAAACCTTACTCCTCCCGTCTCCCAGTTGGTGCTCGTGGTGTCACCACCGGCAGTGCAGCCACCCAGCCCTTCTTACTTCGTAGGCTCCTTGCAGCCTGGAGTCTCTCACCATTCCCTTTCTGTGTGTGGGGAACTTAAGAGAGATTTTTCACTGTCTCAAAATTGTCAGTCAAAGGAGCCAGAAGTCATTTGAACGGTAGTGCTTGGGTTCTGAAGAAACCCTAAAACTGACCCGGCAAAGATTAGGAATTAGAGACCCAAGTGTCGCTCATCACCAGGACCACAGGCTTCTCGGATCCCTCTTCTTGGCTGCTTGAAGGACCTGTGGCTACCAGCAAAGGCTGAGACAGGCAAAGGAGGAGGCAAGTCACACACGAGCTAAGCCAGCAAGTTGGCATCCTTCTCACCCGCTGCATTTAGTACCCTGCCATAATATTTACACAGCCCTGGTTATGCAGCAGGCATTGCCCAAGTGCTTCCCATATATCAACTCACACGGCCCTCGCAATGAGTCTCGGAAGAAGGCAAGGTGACATTTCAGGGAAATGGAGCACAGAAAATTGAAATGCTTGCAGAAGTGCTTCACGGAGGTGAGGTCTGGACTCAGGCTGGTGCTGCAGAACCTGCCCCTAACCTCTGTGCTATGCGTGGAGGAAGCAGATCCATGGGACCTGGCAATAGAAAGGAACCAGCGATTCCCCTCTGGATACAGTTCTACTGCACTCCACACCGGGAAGTGAGATAGGAGACGACATAATGTAATACTCTTAGTGCTTTTCCACCAAGACCAAGATCCTTCACGGGATTCCGGGAAAGAAACAAGACTTTACTCCAGCTGGGGAGCAGAAATTCTTATCTGCACAGGACCAGTGCTCCTGACTGGCCTTGTTGGGGGCCTCTCCTCTGATTGGCCAGCACACCGGGACAGGAAGTTAAAATCGGGACCCCCAACCCTTCTCCAAGGCTTCCTGTCTTCCACCCACCCACAGGAACTTCAGCTACCCCAGCAGGGACCTGCTGCCAGCCAACCCCAGACTCTCACCCAGGCTCTCTGCCTCATGCGTGCACAATTACAAGTCAAGACCCAGCTAAAATAATGGACACCGTTCGGATTTTGCTCCAAACGTATGACATCAGAATCTACCTAGGAGTGCATGTGAGAAAACATTCAGTCATCACTGGCACATCTCTTACCTGCCTCTGCCCACACCCAAGATACCATCAAATGGTGTCAGTTTAATCTCCTCACCACCTCTTCACTTCTGGCTCTTTCTCCTCCCTGGCCACTGCCCTCACGCAGGTTCTTACCCTGCCTTACTCACGTACGGCAGCAGCCCTTTCATCAGTTTCCTCTTCAGCTCAACCCCTCTACACATCCCTCTGTTCAGCATCAGGCAACCTTTCTAAAACGCAAATCCCATCATCTTACTCCAGGTAGGAAATACCCAAAATGGCTCTCCGAGACCTTTTTCAGAACAAATAAAAATAAAGCTGCATTAGTGTAATGTGTTTGTTCCTTAAATCAGTTTTTAAAAAGTACAGTTTATAAAACACTTCCAGTTCTACTTTCTCTTTCAATTATTGCAAGAAAACCTCAGCACCCAGCAAACCCTTGAGCCACTCCTCATACCATTCTCTCTTGCTCCAAGTATACTAAGCTAATTCCCATTGCCATATTTGCCCTGCTACGGTTTATGTCCATAATGTCTCCCAAAATGCCTATGTGCTCAGAACGGGGTGTTTGGAAGGTGACTGAATCATGGAGCCTTTACACTTGTCCCAGCTGAATGTGCTATTAGGGAAAGGGTCTGGTGGGAAGTGGCTGCTCACTGGGGGCATGACATGGAGGGGAACATCTTGGCTCTCTCTCTGCTCTTTGCTTCCTGCCATCAGACATAAGCAACTTTCCTCTACCAGACATTTTCTTCATGCCCTTCATGCTTTAAAACCAGCCTACTGTGGACAACAGCTAAAAATCAACAGCTGAAATAAACCTCTCTCCTTCAATTTGTGAGTGTGGATATTTTGTGCCAGCAAACAGAAAGTGACAGAGATATTTTGGCAGCAGAGAAATGGGATTGTTGCTGTGACATTACCTGACCATGTGGTTTAAGAAGACTTTGCAACTGCTTTACAGGAGGATATTGGAAGAGTTTGGGGATGCTGGCTGGAGAAACAGCCCAAGAATGGTAGCAGCCAAGCTTGATAGGAGATTCTGGTCAGAACTCAGAAGACCAGACTGCTGATAGAAAGGTGGAGGATAAACATCCAGCTCTGGAGATTTCAGTTGGGAGCAAGAACTCCATTGGCAGTTAGACCAGAGGCCATGTGTGTTATTCTCTGGCAGAAAATTCGTCTACATTTTGCCCATGTTCTAAGACTTTGGAGAAGTCTGAGATTAAGGTCAGTGAATTAATTAACTTGACAAAGGAAATTTCAAGGCAACCCAGTGTCCAGGATATGGCATGGATACTTCTAGCAGCCTTTAGCCAGCTCTACAATGAGAATCAGTGATTTGCTCAGTGAATTGAAAAATTTGGAGGTTTGCCAGAAAGGAAGCACCTGAAAAGTTGGGGCAAAGAAGACCATGGTTGTGGACAATATTAGCATTGTAAAGAAGCCAAGTAGTTTGCATCAGGACTCTAGGAAAGATGCCTTGAAGGCATCTCAGGAATAACCAAGGCTCTGTCCTTCATTGGCTTAGGGGTGTAAATGGGTAAAGGAAAAATCCTTTGAAAGCCTTTGCTTTGAGAAGAGAGCCCCAGGGTGACTTTCTGCAGAAAGGCTGCTTAGGGAATTGGTTTCCTGGGATTCCTTTCATGCTACTCAGCCATGGAGGCATTCAGAGGCCTCTGTAGCTGTGACTGGAGGGGGCCAAGCTCCTGCTCTAGCTTGCGGCAGACTATGGCATCGCCCATGTGGTGCTGGTTTTACAGGAATGCAGGATGCATGCATTGAGGGGTCAAGGAGGTTTCCACTTAGATTCCAGAGGAATGTCTAAGAGACCAGGGAGTGTGTCTCTGAGAGGATGGTGCATAAAGCTGTGACCATGAAGCTGAAAGTGCAATGGAGGCCACAGGAAGTTGGTGATGCCAGAAACATGGAACATCTTCTGAGAAAAACCTCAGGAAGTAAGTAAAGCCACCCCAAGAGAGTATGAGCGCTGCAAGCAGCAGTGTTGCAGAGCAGGGTTCCCAAGCCCTTCGGAGTTTGCCTCTCATCACCACTTGCCAAGGGCTGAAGAGGGAGCTACAGGATTTAATATTTGCTCTGCTGGATTTAGGTCTTGCTTTGGTCCCATTCCCTCCTATCCTCTAGTGTTTCCCTTTTGGAATGACACTGTTTATCCTGTGCAGTGTTAAATTGCTTTTTTATTTGTATAGGGCCTCAAAGCTAACAATTTGCCTTAAATCTTGAGGGGACTTTGGGCTTAGACTTTTCAGCAATGTTAAAAATTAAAACTGTTAAAATGTTGGCAACTCTTAGAGATGGGCTAAATGCTTTTTGTGTAAAGTGTTAGAAATGAGTCTTTTGGAGCTGGGGCAGAACATTGTGTTTTAGATCTAAGATATCCCCCCAAAGGCTCATGTGTTTAAGATGAGGCTTTTGGAAGGTGATTGAACCATGGGAGTCCTATACACATCAGAGCTAAATGTGCTGTTAGAAAATGGGTCTGGTCAGAAAAGGAGAGTCCCTGAGGGCGCGACCTGGGCTACATCTCCTTCCTGAGCTCCTCTTTTTACCCTCTCCTCTACCATGCCCTTTCCACCATTCAGCCAGCTGACTATGGACTGATTCTCCTAAAAACTGTGAGCCAAAATAAGCCCCTCGTCCTTTAAGTTGTCAGTTGTGTTTTGTCTCAGTGACAAGAAAGTGACTAAGACACACCCTGTTCTTTGTATATGTTCCTTTGCATCACTACAAGTTTTAATCTTAAGTCCCTTTTTCTATATTCTGTATCTTATAAAATGCTAATTGCTTTTTTTCCTTATCTCTTCCTTTATCTTTTATTTACATCGGCACCTAGCAGGAGTAAGCCCCATTCATTTAATTCTAGTTGCTCTAATTTTATACCCAGAGCTTAGAAAACTATGACATGTGGTGAAAGCTAAATACCACTCACTACCTGTTTTTATAAATAATGTTTTATTGGAACACAGGCATTTACTGTTGTCTATGGCTGCTTTGACTCTACACTGACAGTGTTGAATAGCTGTAACAGAAATACCACCCTAA